CAATACATTAATAATAATAATAATAATAATAATAATAATAATAATAATAATAATAATAATAATAATAATAATAATAATAATAATAATAATAATAATAATAATAATAATAATAATAATAATAATAATAATAATAATAATAACAACAATTGGCTATTTGAATCACAACTATAAACTAGTAATAATGACAAAACTGGATACAGGAAAATATATAAATATACAAGACAATCAAATATTTCAAATAGTTAACAAGTCCGGACTTTCCTATTCCTTATTTCGACAGCAGAAAATGTAATAAGTACTTCGAATGCCAATAGTCATCATTTTCCTTACACAGTACGTTTGGTAGTTTTTGTCGAGACTAACATTTCCTAACATTTCTAAGATTGTAGAGCATTCTTGCGCAAAAATACCTAGGGAGCTCATGGAAAGATTAACAAAGTTTACTTCGTCAAAATTTTCATCTAGCTATCTTACTAGTTCTCTATATTTGGCTTTTTTCCGTTTAACGTTGTTCTCGAGGTTTGTCTCATAGCCAACAGTGAGCTCAACCACATAGAGAGAGCTATTTGATAATGAATAATAATAATATTAGTATTATTATTATTACTACAATTATTATTATTATTATTATTATTATTATTATTATTATTATCCTCAAATTCAATTTGACCTTGACCCCCCAACCTATCAACAAATTACAGCTGTAATACGTAAAATGAAAGCATCTGGTTATCCTTGCCCTCTTGATCAGCTCTCAATAATATGTTTTAAACGCTGTCCTTACCTTAGAGCTTATCTCACCGAACTTATACGGGCTGTCTGGTTATCTGGTACCATCCCTTCTGAATGAAAAAGAGCTTGTACAATTCTTATTCACAAAATAGGCGAAACTAACGATCCCTCCAATTTCCGACCCATTACACTTGAATCAATTCCTTTGAAAGAATTTACATCCTGTGTCCGTAATTCACTTTATTCCTTCTTCGCCGCAAATAATTATATCGAACACAACATACAAAAGGGCTTCAAAACAAATTTTCAGGTACTATGGAGCACACTGCTCAAATGGCGAATATTATAAACAGAGCACGGATTAAACAGCGCTCTCTTGTCATCACTCTCCTTGACCTTAAGAATGCTTTTGGTGAAGTTCATGACAACTTAATTCAATCTACACTTGAATATCATCATATTCCTGACAACATCAAAAATGTTATCAAAAGTTTATATACTGATTTTAAAACTTCCGTGATAACTTCTGAATTCCGCACTCCGTTCATAACTGTTGGCCGTGGTGTGCTACAAGGCAATTGTCTTAGGTTCTCTGCTGTTGAACATTTGCTTGAATACTTTCATTCAGCACATAAAAGCTGACAAATACCGTCAATTTGGTTTCATGTTAACTTCCTCAATCCCGTTCACTGGTTTCAATTCGCTGATGACGCAGCTGTTATCACTGGCCAAGATGATGAAAACCAATACCTCTTAAACCGATTCACCATCTGGTGTCAATGGTCGAACATGATTATCAGAGTTGACAAATGTAGCACCTTTAATTGGCCTTTTAGAAAGTTTTGACAAAATCCGTTCAGTAAATACCGAAACTACCAATTAACAATGGTCTCATACCTACTATTCAACTGGGAGAAATTTTTAAATATCTATGAAGATTCTTTGATTTTGATATGTCCGACCAAGAACACAAATCTGAACAAATGTCCCTCATTGAAGAACTAATGTCTGATATCGACCATAAACCTCTACACCCCCAAAACAAACTTATTCTATACAACCGCTACGTTCTGTCCAAAATATCCTGGCATCTCACTGCAGCACCCCTGTCGAAAACCTGGGTAACGGAAACAATCGATTCTGTGATTAATCAATACATCAGAAAGTGGCTTGAAATACCCATTTCTGGAACATTAAGTAATATTTATCTAACCCATAACAAACTCGGTCTGAATATCCACCCTGCATCCGTCAAATTTATCCAATGTCAAACTGTCCTACGCAACGCCTTAAAACATCCCCAAATGATTCCACGAAAGAACTCTGGATATCAACTAACAGTCCCACTAATATTCAGTACGACATGTATAATTCAACAAAGGAAGTTCTCAAGGATTTTCATTCTGGACAAGATAATAAGCTTCAACACCGTTTAGTTTGTCAAGGTTCA